TAAAAGGAGAAGGAGCAAAAACTCCTGCCCTTAGTCTGATTCCTCCTGGATCCTTAAGACTATTTTGCATAGAGGAGGGCAAAGAGGCAAATGTGAGATGTGCCAGCTATGATAGGAATTCCAAGTAGGTTAAAGGGAGCTGTTGCTACTTGCTAGCATATACACCCTGGGGTCTATTATAATTCCATAATAGTGTGTTTTTAATCAATTAATTGATTGCTTAATTGAGTCAAGCAGTGTCATTAATAAACTAAAACTCTATAATCATTTGACATCCCCACTTTATTCTGCATACATTTGTTATCAGCCCAAGTTTTCTAATTGCTTACTTAGGGGTTACTGATGCTAGTTCTTTAGAATAAAGGATGACAAATGCTGCACGATTTTGCCAAAAAGACAGCTCTTCAGAGAAGGGCAACAAGGTATGGAAGACGACCTTTCTATAGTTCTCTCTTATAAAAGCAATATGGATCCTTGGGATTCATACTGCTTTGGGGTAACACAACCCCCTGGGATTGACATGGAAAAGGAATTCATCTTTCCATCTCCCTCAAGTGCTGTGTGTCAACAAGAGATGATCTGCTGGACTAGTTTAGAGGACTGCAACTTCCCAGTAATGTTTATATAAAACAGGGGCCCTTTCCTTTCATTCACACCCTTAATTTATTCTTGGATATTAACATGTGTGCAAATTTTTACATCAGAACTTGTAATCTAGATATTTTTGGACTGCATCACCTATCGGACTTAGTATTTTGAAGGAAGATGGAATGAGAAATATAACATGTGAATGGCCACAAGTTTCCCACACCTAATGTCAAAGCAAATGCACACAGGTAAAGATCCTAATGTAGGTTAACTTAAGAAAGGAAAGGGAAACTTCCTTTCTTTTCCTCCTCACTGCACCTATTTACATCCTTCAAAAGTCTCTAGTAATGGATTTTGTTGAGAAATGTGAGATGTACAGTGGAGGGTTATCTGAAGAAACAATTGCCCATAAATGGGCTTAGATTCAAAGATGCCTTTACAAAGTTCATGTGTGGAAAGATTTCAATGTTCTCCTTCCTTAAGCAGCCTCCATGCCTCCTTCCACTTTGAGGGGCTTTTACCAACCCATTCTGAGCAGCTTTTCCAGGGCTCTAGCTGATGCATGAGAGTCAAATGGACATAAGTTACTATAGATCCCAAACTTTTGCTTTATAGCAAAGCAGCTTATTTATATACCGCTTCATATCACACTATGGGATGTCTAAGCGGTTTACAACTGTGAGCTGATTGCCCCCCCAACAATCTGGGTACTCATTTTAGCGACCTCGGAAGGATGCAGGCCTGAGTCAAGCCTCAGCCCTGGCTGGTACTGAACTCGCAACCTTGTGGTCTATGAGTAAATGGCTGCAGTACAGGCATTTAACCACTGCGCCACCAGGGCTGCTTATATTACTTCACACAAGGACTACCATCCTGTGAAGGTTTGCTTGTGTATGGACTGGCTTGGATTCTAAGATTCATTAACTTCTCACAACACATGGAAGGAATTATGCCCCCTCAACCATCCAGCAGCAACTATAGAGCCATAGCACTAATCTCCCATGCAAGCAAAATTATGCTCAAAATACTGCAACATAGACTCCAACCACACATGGAGAGAAAAATCCCAGAGGTCCAAGCAGGGTTCAGGAAAGGAAGAGGCACCAGAGATCACATTGCAAATATACGATGGCTAATGGAGTGTAACAGGGAATTCCAAAAGAAAATCAGCATGTGCTTTAAAGACTATAGCAAAGCTTTCAACTGCATAGATCATGCAAGGCTATGGAATGCCCTCAAAGACATGAGAGTGCCAACACATCTGATAGTCTAATGAGGAATCTGTACTCAGGACAACAGGCTACTGTCAGAACAGAACATGGAGAAACAGAATGGTTCCCAACTGGCAAAGGAGTCAGACAAGGCTGCATCCTATCACCCTACCTATTCAATTTATATGCAGAACATATTGTAAGGAAAACAGGCTTGAACACGGAAGAGGGAGGAGTGAAAATAGGAGGAAGAAATATCGACAATCTGAGATATGCTGACGACACCATAATACTAGCAGAAAACCTCACAGATCTGGAACAGCTACTAAGGAAGATCAAAAGGCTTACTGTTGAACATAAAGAAAATAAAAAAAATAATGACCACAGAGAACTTACACACATTCAAACTAGACAATGAGGAAATAGAAATAGTAAAAGAGTTCTCATATCTGGGATCAAACACTGATCAGAACAAGGACTGCAGCCAGGAAATCAGAAGAAGATTAAGAATGGGGAGGTCAGCCATGAAAGAACTAGAAAAGATCCTAAAATGCAAGGACATGCAACGCAGCACAAAAGACAGAATCATACAAGCCATTGTATTCCCTATTACCATGTATGGATGTGAGAGCTGGACAGTCAAGAAAGATGATAGGTAGAAAATCAATTCATTTGAGATCTGGTGCTGGAGAAGAGTGTTAAGGATCCCATGGACAGCCAAAAGGACAAACAAATGGGCCCTAGAACAGATCAAGCCAAAATATCTCTAGAAGCCAATATGACAAGACTGACTGTCTTACTTTGGACACATCATGAGAAGGCATGAATTGTTGGAAA